CCACATTAGTTGTTTTCAGCATAAAAGCTTTGCTAAACCTACAGCACACTACTTTCCTAGCATCGAGTAGCAGACAAAGTTAGCAACCAGCTAACACAGTGAAACATTTAGCAACTAAAGAAGCAGATATTTTCCGCAGGAGTTGGTTGAGAGCAAAGCAGAGCTAAGCAGAGAGTGAATATTTAACTTATATTTATTAGGTAGACACAAGTGTGAGCCCAAATGATGATTATATGAAGAGGACACTTTGATAGTATGTTCACCATAACATCTATAAAGGTGATAATATGTCAGTGTGGTGATGTCATCGTCTTATGCTGCCCCAGAGTGGCCAAAAATCCACTGAGTGCTGCTTTTAAGTTACACTTCTTCAATAAAAGGTAGCCATTTTTATGGCAGGTATAATGGATCACAATTTTTCCCCATGTACTCGTTTGCACTGCGCTTCAGTCTAAGTGCATTGATCATGATTGGCTGAATTGAACATTATCTTTATCGTTGTTGTCAGATTAACTCTGAATGTTGATGCACAAGACAATTACTGTACACACAAAACAGACCCACAGCACACAAATCAGACTGGCTCTGCACTCAGTCATGCTTCATTCCCAGCCATCTTGGATGATGATCTAACGTGGCAATTAGGCTGGATTGATTCTCAAGGCCTCCCGCCAGCGTGCAGCATGCGAGCGCATCATTGTGCGCCCATTTTGTGCCTGTCTGCGTGAGCGCCTTCACATGCTAGTCTTGTGCCTATCTCGAGTGCGTGCGTGATGAGAATGAAAAACAGAGCTCATTTAAATCACAGTGTGGTAGGAAATTCCACAAACTCTTCTTTATACAAAACATTTGCCTAATTTAGGCTGCGCCCCCCCCCCACGTCCATCCACTGTGTACTGCTCTTGAAGGGTTATTTATGTTTTCCTTACCAAGTCAAGTTCCTGAAAATGACTTGTTCCAACTCCAGAACTGGAGTTTAAGTTTCATTTTTCCATTTAATGTGAGCTTGATTCAACACACATGCTGCTGATGATTGAAGCGTCTCTTGCTGAATCACTGCAGCTGAGAGACGGCCGAATTCGGTGCCATAAAACCACAAACGAGAAAAGCTCTAAATTAGTGTCATTTGCTGCTTTTAGAACTCACATTCTGCCTCGTCATTTCATCGGCTACGGTTACTTGCTGATTGATGCTCCTGACTATTTCAGTTTCAGCTTCCACTATGCACTGTGCCCATAATAGACTCCAACACAAGACTTGATTTGTGTACGTCTGATTCCCGGGGGAACCATTCAGCAGTTACAGTTTGCAGGAAAAGCAGATGAGACGAGTAAATCTCCGAGCCTCGCTGTGGGGAGCCATCTTTGTTGCCAGTCAGGGTTTGTGTACAGAAAGCCCCTAAGGATGGCGGCGCTGACCTGGAATCTTTTGTCGGATCACATGACCACGCAGTATGAGCTTTACTTTGACATAAGAGATAAACTGGTCCCTGATCACTCGTCCTATACGGAGACTATTTATGCATATGGTTCCAGGTTGAAGAGCTTTGCTGCTTTGTTTTTTTGTCTCTCTTTTTTGGCATTGAAGGACAGTAACAGATGATCAAAAGTCACTGACTCATCTCACATTGTACGGGATGCTTTGGAACATTATATTAAACCTGACCTCTCACTGTAAAAACTGTAATGATTGTAACAACTCAAAACCAAGGAGTGAACACACAATTCTCAAGCTCATTAAAAAGTTAATAATGAACCCTGTCTCTTTTCCAGGCCATGTATCTGAGTCGGGACGGCCAGTATCTGCTGACAGGCGGAGATGGAGGTGTAATATCTGTCTGGCAGGTCTACAACCTCAAACAGCTGTTCACCTACCCAGGCTGTGATGCAGGAATCCGCTCTATGGCCATGTCACATGACCAAAGGTAATAAACACATACACTATGGAACTATTTAATGAAACTGTTTTTTGGAATCTTTATACTGCAATTTCTCAATACTTACTGACCGACATGCACAGGCACTTAAATGTCTACAGTAAGCTAGTATCAGCCTGGCTTATATATTGGTCTGCCTCTAATAAAAAGTACTACACAATAAAGTATAGCCTGGTCATTAACAGGCCGATATGATATCAAGGTTTAAGAATATTTGAAAATGTGACAATGATTTAACAGCTGATGCTGTTTGTTTTTATATAAACACAGCATTTTGACAGGGGTCCCTCAGATTAGTTTTTAAAAGAGTTCTGATCGCACAGTGTAGAGTGAGACATTGTGCCATTGTCCTCACTGGTGGAACTATTTAATGAAATAATGTTTTTTGAATTCTTGTACTGCAGTTGCACTGTTATTGACCGGCATACACAGATACCTAAATGTCTATAGTAAGGTAATATCAGCTTGCCGGATTTTTTTAAGGTGTTTAAAATACTACAATATACTCCATTACAATACAAATTAAAACTATTACTTAAGTAAAAATTGAGAAATATTGGAGCAAAATGCATTTGTTGTATTAATTCAGGACTGAAGTGATTGGTCCATCAATGGATTAGTCCACCAACAGAAGTTTAATCATCAAAAGTGATGGTTATTGATTAATTGTTTAGGAAATGTATCAAGGAAAATGCTTCATATTTACTCTGTGGTGCTCTTAAAATGTGATTATTTGCTGTTTCACATTTTATATTTATGTATTATATATTTTTTATATATCTGTTTTATAGTATTGTGAATTTATCTTTGGGTTTTGGGCTGTTGGTTGAGCCAAACAAGTTTTTGGCTGAAATTTTCAGGCCATTTTCCCTCCACTCTTACACTTTTCAGACTAAAAAATCCCTCAGAGAAACATAAAAATATTCAGCAGTAACTGGATAATGAATAGAAGAGTTGGTTGCAGCTATATTTGTGTTATTACAGGATTGTTATTGTCACTACTGGTGCATTAACATGTAAGCAGTATTTTAATGGTTAAGGTGAAGATTAGAATGACTTCATGCGGTTGTGTCGTACATCATGTTTTACAAGCTGATCGTGTGTGTATGTAAAACCTTACTCTTTAAAGTAACTACAGATGTCAGATAAATATAGTGAAGTGTAAAAAGTGCATCTGAAATGCAGGTAAGTAGAAATCCATACTTCAAAAAAGCACCTAAAAGTTGTAATTGAGTTTGTTTGAGCAAAATGTTGCACTAGAGACGCATTAAATTCAATTCAAATTCACAGCAATTCAAAAGACAAACACTGGACAGACAAAACCTCATGATGTTCTCTTCTAACTCTCCTAGGTGCATCATAACGGGCATGGCGTCTGGAAGTATCGTGCTCTTCTACAACGACTTCAACAGATGGCACCACGAGTACCAGACCAGGTACTGAGCTGACGACAGCAGCTCAACTTGACTGACAAAGTTGGATACTGACGAAAAATACAAAACAGTTGCAAAGTGTGAACTCTTATCAAAGGCACTATTCTGTCTGAATCCTGATATCCTGAATGTATCTCAATGAAAGAAGAAAAAAAAACCTGTCCTGTTATAGTAAAGAATCAAACTATTTTTAAAAAGGGCATTGCTATATTTTGTAGATCAGATAGAAAACTTTCATATAAATCACAGGGTGGGGGTTACGTTACTGTACGGTTAAAAACAAATCTATTTTTAGCTGTAAGAGTCTATTTTCATCTCCTCCGGAAAATAACAGCGGGATTTGTGGGGAGCTAGTGAGAACCTTTTCTCTTGACTTAAAAAAATCCAAATATTTGTGTACTTTAGGGTGAGTGATTTTTTTTTCCTGTAGGTGTGTATGTGGGGAATAATTATTAAGCTATCATTCACTTTTAACATGCTTTTTGGCAGCACAGCCGGTAGATATGAAATGTTTGAATAAATAATAAATGTATTGGACAGAAGGATAAACTAAGAGGGAATATACATAAATATATAAATATCTATATATTCTGTTTAAATGTAGTCCTCCATATTTAAAATCTCCATTCCCTCTGTACTTGCTAAGAGATTGCGTTTCTGTGCATGGCTCACTACTCATGTAAAACATATCAGTACAGACCTATCAGACATCCAGAAAAACTTCCCGCTCCCAATAAAGATGAGCTTTATGTGGAGGAGGATGTCAGGAAAACTACGACAAGGATTTTGCTTTTTACATTTCTCTCCCAAATCATTTTTTTCACTAAAATAGGAATCTGTGACGGAGTGAATGGGCTCACTAATAAAATCACTAAACAAAATTCACATCATATCATCAAACTAGGTGCCCAAGCCAGCATAGCATCTTTAAAGTCCTCTTTGAGTCCTGTCTCTCTAACAGCAAAGTGAGATGTGCAATGACAGGAAGGACGACTTCTCTATTTTGCATCAAGGTTTAAGTGATTATGTTCTGATGTGATGATTCAGCACTAAAATGGAGACATGTTCCTTTGGTCCCTTCTAAAATGAACGTCCACCTGTATCTTTTGATTTCGGGGGAAACATTCCTTTAAAGTTTGCGCTTTGATGTGGTTTGAATCTCCAGTTACATGAGAACTACTGTTATCTATCAACCAATTTTTTTTTTTTTTTTGCAATCATTTGAGTGTTTTGTGTGCCGAGTTCTGACAATAAAATGGAATTTTATAACTTGAATTGTCTTTTGTATGAGTGTGTTTGTCACTAGGAAGCACTGAGACAGGGTGGCTGTGGCTCAGGAGGTAGAGCAGGTTGCTAACTCATTGGAAGATCAGCAGTTCGATCCCCAGCTAGACCAGTCTGCATGTCAAAGTGTTCTCTGGCAAGATACTGAACCCAAAATCCCAGTGTGTGAGTCCAGGTGAATGTTAAACTAAGTTGCAAGTGGCACCTTGTATGGTAGCCTCAGCCACCAGTGTGTGAAAGGGGTGAATGTGGCATGTAGTGTTGGAAGTGTACACTCATTTTTGAAGTCTGCACAGCACCCTCTAGTGGCCAACTTCTGGTCTCACACACAGAAATATCCACAAACATTCATTTGAAGTCTTTATTGCATTTTGCTGTTCTTCCTTTCAAACAATAGGACATCAAAAGCAGCCACTTTATGCCTAATAAAAACTGTTACTCCAGTTTGACAGACGATAAACCTGTTTTAAAACTGTCTTTTCATACAAATTTCCCTTTACAAACTGCATATGAAAATCTACCTTTAACTACATATACATCAGGGGAAGCTAAATGACATTATGTACCAACTTGACTTTGTGTATGTGTGAGGGGTTTCTGTCTTACAGGGAGAAACAGGAGGTGGGAATGGAGTATGCATGCAGCTGAAAGTCCTGAAGAGATAAAGAGGCATGTTGAACCACTGAAGGAGTTAGCCCTACTAAACACCAGCTGGGGTAAATGCTGCTGTGGAGTCTGAAACGGGTACAAAACGAAAAATCTTACATAACTTATCTTTAGGATGCACACGTTGGAACTCCGTTTTTCAGCCAAGCTGGTTTTGATAAAGGCATCATTAAGTTATGAGCTGTTAGCTAGTGGTCAGGCACAAACCCGTCACCTTTACGACACATTCATTCGTATAGATCCAGCAGATCGAAGACCATTGCTTGAGTATTTTGAAGGAACAGCATTGACTTGTTTCATGCAACCCACAGTGTAGCATTGTCAGTAGGAATTATATCGACTGGTAACTGAGTTCATCTGTTTTCTCTCTGTGCAGCGCTGCAGTCTGAGGAGAAAATTCCAATTCATTAGAAACAAACCTGCAATTTGGTTTCATGTCTGTTGGATCTATTTTCTCTAGTTTGACGCAGTTATTAGTGACGCTGAGCGCCATTAACTGCTCAGACACACACAGACAAAAACAAACCTTCAAGTTTCAGGTGGACAGCTAAGATTCTTCACACTATTTACAACTACAGTGTTCACATCAAATAATACATACAAACAGGATGTGGATGTATCAGCATGTCCGTCAGTTACAGTGGGTGCACACTGACTTATTCGTAATTACAGAGGCGGATACACTGGCAGGTCATGTTAAAGGGTCAGTTCACCTAAATAAAAGGAACACTTATTTACCCTCACTTACAGCAGATGTATTCCTTTGAAACAGCTGTTTGTACAATGAAGTCAGACAGAATTAAGTTTCGAGTAACAGCAAAGTACATTTCTATGATACATCTCTCTGTTTAACACAAGAGCAGTGATTCCCAACCTTGGGCTCCGGACCCTGCATTGGGTCACAAGCTAGTCACGTGCTCGGGCTAGAGAGGGGTCTGGAATCACTGATTATCTTTCTGCTATGAGGGAAAAATCTCTCGGGTTTGGTTGTGTTTCTTTAAACCAATCATAATTGTCTTGGGTGGAAGGAAGCCTAGGATGCAGCGACAGTGCTTTTGCGAAATAGTGTCAGGGTTGACCTTGTTCCGGCGGAACATTTGGACATGGGGAGGCAAGTAGTGTCATTAAAATGGCCCTGCACAAGAAAAGCCACAGAAACATTAACAGTCCTGTGTCACTATGATTTGATAATCGTTGCCCTCGAAGCTAAGCATGACTGTATATTAGATCTGGAGGAGCTCACTGGACTCCACACATGATTTGCTGGCTGTATTTGGCTCTAGCTGAACATTACAATAATACTTGTGTGAAGTGAAACAGATCTGTACACTGGTCACTGTCGCATGCTGCTGCCAAAGTTAAAAAATGTGGCAAATCAACTCCAACGGACTGTGTTAGAAAACTGATTAACATCTGGCACAAGAGTCCTGCGAGACGGCGTCGTGGCTTTTCTGACGTGTCTTCACAGGTTGTTTTATTTGTTCTCGATTTTACAAAAATTGACCAAGAGAACAAAGCTTGCGTGCCTTTATGCCATTTTCAGCATGTAAGCTGATAGCTCGGAGGTTGTTGTTTCCCGTAGCGAGGGCGGTTTTGAAAACAGTAACATGCAGATAGCAGAAGGAAGGGAGAAATTAGCGCCCAGTGGCAGGTTTAAAGCCACAGTCTACATCTGGTGAGAGAAACTTGTCATGAGATCATTTTAAAGAGTTTTAGAGATGATTGACAGGATAGGAAAGCAGAAAAAAACACTCCTGTGGCCAAGAGTAAAGATTTCCAAACCAGTCTGATATTAAGCCAAACCTTGGACTGGAATACCGAATTTTGCCACTATGTGTCGCACTTGACTCAGCAGCCACTCCCGAGAGGCGCACATTGCATCGTCTGTTTTTTAGCTCACTTCTTTTGTCAGTTTCATATTCAAAATGATGCCATATTGATGCTATGTCAAAACAATGTCTCCTCTTGTCACCTCAAAAAACACATTAAGTTTCCAGTAAACAAACACAATGTGTGTTGTTCTTCCACTTCCCACCTCTACTAAAATTTGATTTTGTTCATGTTACAGTGCTCCACTTGGCAGTAAATAACGCACAGCCTGTCAGACACTAGTGGTTCTATTAGTCTGTTTATATTTTCTGAATTTGCCAGTAAGGTTTATAATGACAAACGCTGGTTCAGTTGGTTTTCAGAAAATCAAACTGGTTTGAGCTCGTACACCAGACCAGACCATCAAAATCGGAAATCGATCCCATTCTAACTGTTTCTATACAAGGTCACAAGCCACAAAGGGTGGTGTTCACTGCACTAGAGGTAACTAAGACAATGTTTATTTTTTTGTAATTTGGTGAACATACCCTTTAAGCTGAATGTGAACAGCCATGTGTGTCAGCGTTAACACTGTTGATTATTAACACTTTTACACGCATGAATTCAAGGCTACAGCTGAGGCTGTTTCACTGACAAAGCACGGCCGTAGTTTGGTACTTTGGTTGGTATTACATTTATTTTGTCAACCCACTGCACTGTATATAATAACACTTAATAGGAATCTTAAGTTGAACAGTAGACTTGCGGTTACCATCAGGATGGCTGTGGTCAGAGAAAATACTGATAGTGGTTATAGTTGGAGTACACTACAGGTAGCTAGGCTAGCAAGTTCAGACGTTTGATATGCTGTAATACTTTTGTGTGTATTGTGGACATACTGTCTCTCTGCTAAAGCAATAGGAGTTCACAATGGTGTGATGAATAACTATTTACAAAAGAGCCACAGGCAGTCAACACGGGATAATAAATAAAAGAAAGAATTCACATTAAGGTGATATACTGTAGTAATGCATGACAACTAAAGACAAACCACTCAGAACAGTGATGTATTCAGCTCATTCCCTTTCTCCACATCCTCCATTAATAAATACAAACATATATATACAATCGACACACTCTTAGAAAATGCTTTGTATCCTCCGTCTCTCAGAATGAGTGGTGTAAGAGTGAGAGAAAACTATGGACACAGCAGTCACTGGCTCAGTTTACAGCTATTGGAAATGCTCGGGATGGACTGTTTACTGACACATACATGTTATAAGAAGGAGTGGGAGGTGATACTGGCTATAGAATCACCATTTAAATCTCCACTAGCTCCTCAGCAGGTAGAGGGCTGGGAGAAGGAGGGCCAGCGGGGGAGGGTGGGGATGTGGATCTGGGAGGTGTAGAAGGAGGAGAGGGAAACAGGGTTGGATGATTGGGAGATGGGGAGGAAGGTTCTTGTTTGGTCGGGGAGGAGAAGGGGAAGAATATGACAGGTTTGATGGGGGAGACTGGGGAGGGGGAGGCTTGTTTTGTGGGAGAGGAAGGTGGGGATGGTGCCTCTTTGGTAGGAGAGGAGGAAGGGATTTGGGTTGGTTTGGTTGGAGATGATGGGGAAGGGCAGGAGACGGGTGTAGAGGGAGTGTTGCAGGTGGAAACAACAGGAGGGGCAGAGGGTGAGGGTGTTTCTAGAGATAAGCAGGGAGCAGCAGAGGGTGATGTTTCAGGCGGGGAGGAGACAGGCAAAGAGGTGATGGGGAGAGATTCAGCAGAGGGTGAAGGGGAGACATGAGGTGAACTCACAGGAGCAGGGTGAGGGAAATCAACACCATCAGCTTGGGAATGAGAACAGGAAGCATTGGAGGTGGATGTAGCATCAGGAACAGCAGCCCCAGCGGTCTTGGGTGCCTTGAGACGAGCAGACTTAATGGGTGACTTAGGCGTGGCAGGTTTTGGTTCTTTGGTGCGTGATGCCTGTTTGGTTGGGGAAGCTGGTCCTGACTTTGTTGGCGAGGCTGATTTGACTGGAAGGGCAGATGGGGCTTTCTTGCTAGACGATGATGGTGGACATGGCACTGTTTGGGGCCGTGGACGACGACGGGTGGTGAGCTGGAGGGTCTTCTTATCAAGAGCTGTCATCTGGCAAAACAGACAGACACACTGTCAGCTTCATACTTACATATATCTGAAGCCAATCAGAACATAAAAGGAACGATATCGTGGGTCAGTCTACACTGATATCAGGAAACTTAAAAGCATAAAATTAATTGTGCTTTCCTTTGACTGTCTAGCTCCTGCAGTGAGAAACTACATCTTTTTACACCTACAACCATTAACTGCTGACCCAGTTTTGTATTTTTTAATGATCTCTATGCATGAACCACACACATGATGAAACAAGCTAATGGAAATGGACATAAATAACTGAAAGATGATCAAACAAAAAGACAGTATTCTCTTCACACAGTAGAGTGACTCCACGAGAAGGCAGAATCAGGTCATCACTGCTATTCTATGTAGAAAGGAAGGGCAAATGAGAACGTAAACTGTTACTTTTTCATTTAACAGATAAACACAAGGTGCCTTTGTCTCAATCAAAGCCAATGATGTGTTCTTACGTGGGACATAAAACCAGTAAATATCACGTTCCTCATTTGCCCTTGTGCTGAGTGTCAGCAGCAGAACAGACGAGGCGTAGCGTCAAGTGTTAGTACATACCATTGCCTTGGAGCTAATTCAGAGGGACGTAATGCAGGGAGAGGGAAGAAGCAAAAAAGGGACAGAGACTATTCTTACTCACAGCTTCACAAAACAAAGTCAACACAACAAGCAATGATGGCCAGTGGACAGTTGCTGTTCCAGCTCAGTGCTAATCCTCTATGTCAGATCATTGAAACACAATTTGGTTTGGACCAAGTGAGCATTTGCATGTGAGAAGACTGAGCTGGAACAAACTTTCTATGAGTGACTAATTCAGGCAGAAACACGTGTCAGTTAGTACTAAGCTGTATTTACAGAAGTCTCAATACAGTGCGAGGTTAGGTATGAGTTAAATTTATTTTTGGATGTTCTAGTTTTAAAAGACGTGACTGGCATTGTTTTAGATCTCTCTGACTGTCAAGAAAACCCAGGGAAAGACCAAAACCAACAATCAACTGTTGCCTTTTTAGACTGGTAACTTATTCCTCTGTGCCATAGAGCTCAATTTTTGTCAATACATGCAAAAAACACCCATCAAAAACACAATCATGAGCCACACTGCTGCACTGGATGACATGCTCAGTAAACATGAGCTCTATAGTTTATTTTAACTCAGTCCCACATACACCAACCTGCTGCTGTAAATACTCACTAGTGCATCAAATATGTTTTAAAAGTCCGGTGTATAGGATTTAGGGTAGGGGTCGGCAACCTTTTCAATCAAAGAGGCCATTTTTGTAGCCACAAAGCATATTTAAGCCTTATAATGTAAGTAACACAGCCTATTATGTCTTAATTAGCCTTTACACATTACTAATAGGTCTAGATGAGCATTCAGTGATATGTGACACTACAAGGTGGCTACTCTGCAGTGGCCTATTAATAATAATTTGGTACGTGAAAGAAAAAACTCTGTCCACACACTACTGAATTCACTATTTACCTCCAAGACTTAATTTTTTGGATTTGAAGTCCATAGCTAGTTTAGCCAGGAAAACCAAAGACGAGCCACTGCTGTTTAGGTTCAGCAAAATTTATAGGAAAAGGTGCCAGGCCATGGAATTTGAAAATTAAAATGTTTAAAAAAATATTAATTATTAATTTTCATGTAAATTTTTTGGTCAAAGCCTCAGGGAGCCACTTGAGAGGGGCTAAGGAGCTGCATAAGGCTTTGGAGCCTCAGACTGCCTACCCCTGATGAAACATAATATAATAAGCATGTTTTCTTTTTGTGTGTATAATCACCTGAAAATAAGAATTTTTGTGTCTTTGTTACCTTAGAATGAGCCGTTTATATCTATATACATATCTATGACATGTTGCGCTGCCATGTTTCTACAGTAGCCCAGAACGGACAAACACTGGCTGTAGTGTGCACAACAAGAGCATCGGGGAAAAAACATTTTTTTCAATGTGAAACAGCCTAATTCAGGGTTTTTATCGGTTTAAATCACCTGGGGTCTAATTTATAAAACAATACTTAGGATCCAAACTAAAAATGACATGCGCCAAAAAATATTTTCTATATATTTCTACAATCAGGCTTCCACCTCACCTTCTCCATCATCAATTTCCTGTCTCCACAATGTTCTTAAGCATGGGTCAAAGTTTTGTCCATCAAGTCCACTTTTAAAGATCACAACCTCTGCATAGTAAATGGTGTACGCCACTTTCAGACCTCATTTTGTGCTTAGGCAATGTTTATAAATTAGACCCCTGGTCCATTTGTTTTCGAGAGGATGAGACCTCTGCGGATTGTTGGCCTCCCCGTAAAACCTCCTGAACAATGAACACTGAAGGGATTCTAACCAGAAGTTTCAGCTGGTTGCAATCTGCTGTTCTCCCCATTAGATGCCATTAAATCCTCCTAAATCTTACACACTGGACCTTTCATCCCCGGCTGAAAAAGAGTCCCTAACACATGCTTTTTGAGTGAGGTTTACTGAAAACACGCTCAGCTGTTTGAAAATGAAAGTTAGTATTTGTTACCCACTAGCTTGGAACAAACTGGCTTGGGGGCTGAGAATCACTTACAGTATAAAGAGACGGACTAATGTTGGCTTTGGTCTTTTCATAGAATTTGATCTTGATAAGGAAAATAGAGAATAATGTCAGTCTTGTCCTTTAAAGTGGTGAGGGGAAGGCAATAAAGCCACACTGGTTTGCATCCATCTCTGCAAATTCAAACTCCAGAATGGTTTAAGCACACTTCCTAATTTTCCCCACAAGGTGGCACCAGAGTACCATTATTTGCAGCCATTATGAGCCACCAATGATGGAACTGTGGACCCTCAGCAAGCTGATTTTAAGGAGCTATTTTGAATGAGATCAATACCAAACAATAAATAACGGCAGAGAGGGAGGCAAATTAAACTGCTCTTGCATTAGCTTGCATTAGCGCTGTAAACATGCTAAATAACCTCAGTGACAATGCAATTAAACAAACACATCCTTCAAAACACAGACGATTATTTTTCACATCCCATGGAAGTTTTGATCGATACAAATGGGATGAAATGTGAGCGAAGGCGCAGAATGAGCAGTATGAAAACAGCCGAGAGGGGTAAATCCAGGACAGAGCGAATGTGGAGAGAGTGTTACTGAGGCCCACATCAGCTGGTTATTGAGAGCAGTTACTGCAGCTGGCGGTTGAAGAAGAGGGGCAGGAGGCCTGAGAAAGAGACAGGAAGGAAGGGGAGGGGTGGGTGGGAGTTGTTATAGATGAAGGGAAGTGGACGAAGGGAAGGGCGATGGCTGGAAAGGAAGAAGAGAGGCAGGAGGGGGGGTATGCAGTGTGTACCCTGCTCTCAGCTCCAGGCGTCCCCTTTGGTCCTGGGTCGGGTGTGAGGGAGGGGTGAGGAGGAGGGAGGAGGAAGAGGATGGAGAGGAGGAGGAGGAGGAGGGGCCGAGGCCAGGGCCCGCGTTTACACCTCAAACTGTCAAATGAGATTTACAACAAGAAATGAGGCTCTTTGCAGCAACCATCAAATCAGATTTCTAATTAGACACTTCCCCTTCCCCCCCGTCCCTGCTTTCAGCTCAGACAGACAGACTGAAGAGAGTGGGCTGATGGGTGGTGTGACCTGATGAGATGAGGAGTGGAGAAAGTCGAACTGTACAACAGGAAATGATGCAAGTGAGGCTTGAAAGGGGCATGAAGGAAGGATGTGATTGCTACAGGAATGACTTCTTGCGCCCTGTCCAAGTTCTTCCATCATTCCATCTCTACAATCCTGTCTGACATGTTTACAGCAGCATAAGTTGTTTATGAGTTGTCTCTGGACGATGATTGAGGTCAGTTATTCTTGGCCCGGTGATTAAGTGGGCGTGAGATTCATATAAAGTGAATCAGAAGGAGCTCAATCTTCTGTATTTGGGTCAGACATTCACAACCAAATGGGTGGTTTGGAAAAGGGCCCAATATGTTCAAGCTGCTTCAGACACCTTGTCAGTTACTGTTAAACCCATGTCAAAAGGTGTCACTGAAAGTCAACGATTTCATGGCGGTCATAAGGGTTCTCTCTGAAAAGGGCTGCAGTAAATCTCAGAAAAATTAGGCAAACGTCTAACAGTCATTTTTACTGAATTGCAAATCATTCATATGCTGGTTGGTGAATGTTTCTAGGTGCTTACCATGATGACGTTCACCCCAGCTGTGGTGTTGTTGTGCTTTGGCGCAGTGTTAAAGTGTGTCTTCAGTTTACCTGTGACCTCCATCTTCATGTTGTCCTCCATGACTGCGTCGTCCTATGTACACACGAACATGCAATGAGGTGAAGTGGTACCATGGGTTTTCCACACAAGAAACTTTCTGAATGTACAGACGCACAAAAGTGACGACACACTGAGAAGTTGTTTGTACACATATACATGCCAGTACAAAGAAAAAACGGGGCTGTGAAATACCGTGACCCAAGGGTGGGAGAGGATGTCTTGTGCTGTGTATCGAGCCTCAACGTTGACCTGCAGCATCTTTCCGATCAGCTCCTGTAAGAAAACACAACGCAGTTTAGACACCGAAGCTAAACATTCTTTTAATTCTACATCAGAGGCATCCCTCGACTGGTCACTGTGACTTTACTTTAACAACACACATACACACAATAAGGTAGGGTTGGGCCATTATTTGATATTATAATCATATTATACTACTGCTTTACAAATTCTGTTATCTATCTTAACAACTTAAAAATAGGTTGACATTTCAGTCAGGAACACCTTAATAAAACTTTATTTCCATTTGCAGTATTATATTTGGCGGTATGGCTCTGTTCTGGGGCCTCTTTGCCTTTCCTTGGGCCTACGCAGAAGGCCTCTTCCACATGCCTACATGGAAAGCTTAAGGCGAAGAGACCACACCACTCTGCCCTTCCATGTGCAAATCAGGAAAGCTTAAGGCAGAGAGAGAGAGACAACCTCCCTGCCCTTCCATGTGCAACTGGGGAAAGCCTACAGCAGAGAGAGCACACCTCTCTGCCCCTCCATGTGCAAATGAGGAAAGCTTAAGGCAGAGAGAGCACACCTCTCTGCCTTTCCATGTGCAGACAAGGAAAGCCTTAAGGCAGAGAGAACAAACCTCCTTGCCCTTCCATGCCCCTACATGTAAAGCCTAAGGCAGGAAGAGCAGCAGCAAAGACCCGCGGGAACAGAACAGAGCAGCATCAATGACAAACAGAAATGACATTGAGAAGTCAGACACAGCATGAAAAGGAGGAGCTGGGGTGGAGGCGGGTTGCAAAGCAGCTTGCAGAGGAAACAGCAACAGTAGGCAGGCCAGAGCAGTTTAAATAGGGCACCCTGAAGGAGATTCACCAATTGGTTGCATGGAAAAGGATCGTGATCTATCAGCTGACTCCCTTCCATCAATCAGCTGCTCCATCAGTTGATTGGCTGTTTGAGATCAGCTGATGTAGCTATGATGTGAGCTGAGCTTGACACTGTGTCCTGCCTGAACTAACGCTATGCTCAATTTTTTGTCACACACATATGCAATAATCAGTTTTTTTGAATGCTCGGCAGCAGCTCTCCACAACAAGCTGAATACTGCACGCATTAGTTAAGTTGATATGTTCAATGTGTTAGCAAGCAACCGCCTGTTTACACAACCAGCAGTCACGAAGCAACATCAGCATTCATACAGAGTCACGTTTTTGGCTGCTTGATGAATGTAACTCTAACATTCACTCTCTTTTATTCTCCACAAACTCCTGAGGGAAATATCTGGCTTTTAAGACACTAAATGCTCCACCATGTTCACCCGCTGGTCATTAATTGTGTCTGTCTGCTGTTTGGTGCTGGGGCAAGAAGCTTACAGTATGTTTTTCGAACTTTCTTGCTGAAAACAGCTGCCTGCTGCAGCTAAACCACACAGATAAAAGCAGTGAGAGTGAACCAAAACACTAAAGTTGCAGGCCATAAACCCAAAGCAATAAGCTGAAAGAGGCTAAAGGCTCCATAGAGCTGTGGGAACTTTATAGTCATGTGTAATCACATTTCATAGCACCATCACTTCACATCACAGAATGTTCATATATAAATACTGATTAATGCAACAATTAGTATTCAATGTTTGATTTACATACACCTGCTATAAAGTGACATATACTGGCAGCAGAAAAACTACCTTAAAATGAGCGTGAACACAGTGCAGCATTGTTAACATCCACTGTCCGCTTTGTGTGCACTCACAAAGTCAAAGTCAGCCTTTCTTAAATTTACATCTGCACTGCTACACGACTGCAAGTAGTTTCACGCTGTGGTGTCTATAACTGTGCACTTGTCGACAGTGACAAGGCCACTGTAATAGCAGTGGGTTTAATTAGCAGTTTGATCTTGCATGCTGAGCCCAGGCTGTCACCTTAATACATGACATTAATTGAGCGCGTTGGAGGGGTTTCTGTGTCCCTCAGCAGACAGTAGTCATTCAAGTAATGTGAAATGTGTAGATGTTAAATCTATAACATTAATTTTAAGAACTATTATAGAATTTTTACGACCACTATATGCAGCTGAACTTAATACTTGTTACACGTTGTGTAAGGGCTCATTTATGCTCAATGTTAAATACGGATCCGGATACGGACGGAGCCTTATGTCCGTGCTCTGCGTTCATTTCGTCCGTATTTCTGCATGTTTCCATAAAGCTTACGGATACGGGCCAAACGGAGCAGTACCACCAGAAACCGTGGGGGCAGTGTTGCTGTCACTACCCGATACGTAGCTCTAGTGAGACACGAAGACGAAATAACAATTCAATTTCTCTCATCAGCAGTACTAGAGAAAAGAATTCTCCGTCCTCCAGTCGCGTTGTATTTAACGGCCTCACCGACCACCGCCTCCTACAACGCTGCTTCTATTTTTGTCTTTTATGCAAGAGGTACATTATCAATATCTCCTCCACAGTCACCATGTTTGTTTTTGAGTTTGTTGTTGTCATAAACTTTTGACGCTGGGCTGCCTCCTGGTGGATATATTGGTTAACATCCATGCCAACGTAAATGGCGCATGGAAGTATGTGGGCAGTGACGGTAGCATCGTTTGAAACAGATGTATACATTTTCATATGTAAAGGGAGCATAAATGAGCCCTAAGGGTTATGATTAGACCATGCATCGGTTAGTGTGATCCTCCATGAAAATTATCAAGAGGGACATAAATGAACACAAGTTGTTGTTGTTGGTGGTGGTGGTGGGAGTGTACGTGTGTGTGTGTGTCTTTGGTCCCAACCTTGGCTGAATCAGTGATGTTATCCCAGTAGGGACTGGGAAAGTCCAGTTGCCCCTGAAGGATCTGGTCAAACAGATCTTCCTGCAGGTTACTCTCACTAAAAGGAAAGACACACAAACAGTGAACAGAAATTCATAATGTCTTACCCAGCACACATGGCATACGTCTACATTCTGAAAAAACTTGCATTGTTTGTACTGCACTTTGCATAATAGTTAATTGCCTCACCTGAAAGCAACGGTTTAATTATGTGTTTATTATAATAACTGCGGAGTGTTATACAAATAAACATGGATTACATTAATATAAGTCGAATCCCTCCCACACTGTGACTGCAGGAGGACAATCTTTAACATGACAGCTAATCACAGCAACTGTTTGTCTATGTAGCACAAGACACTGACAGGTATGACAAACAAATTACCAGATAATATGACTGAAATCATTTTCATATCATCATCATCATGTTTATATTATCCACTAGGTGCCGTGAGTAAATAGTTTTGACGTGGTCTGATTCAGTTTAAACATGAACTTTACGATATGAATTGAGCAGGAGTACCTTCTAAATGGAGGGAAGCCACACAGAAGGATGTAGGTGATGACACCTGCAGCCCAGATATCCACCTTCAGACCATAACTGTGGAAACAGAGGGGCAATGGAAAAGTTCAGTTAGGATAAATGGGTCAGTTCACCCCAAAATCAAAACACTTATTTTTCCTTTAACCTGTAGTGCAATTTATCAGTCTAGATTGTTTTGGTGTGAGTTGCAGAGTAATCGCAATGTCAGCCGTAGAGAGGAAAAGCAGCAGCTCCATATCTTACAAAATGTATTGGTTGCACAATTGTGGCAAGGATCAAAACAAACAGAACTCCAGCGCTTGCAGGTAGTTGTTCTGGTTTAATGTGGACAAAACACAAGCAAAGGCATTTCAGCTCAAAGCCACTGTCAGTGTATCTATTCATGGACGAGAGGCTTGTGCTTGTGAAAGCACAAGATGTAAACCTCCTCGGCTGAGCTGTAACGTTAGCTAGCTCAGTGATGCTAGGTTTGCTAGTAGTAGATGCATGCTTTCTTTTGTGCAGTGATACGATGAGTGGTTGTAGTTCAGTAGAAAGAAAATAGTTCCTACATGAAACTGCTCACAACATGGTCTGTGAAGTATCTGGGTCATGATTTTGTAAAGTGACATTGCTTTTTCAAATGTATTTTTTTGGCAGTACCACAAGCCCAGCGACATTTAGTTTAATTTAGGGCTGTCGAAATAACGCGTTAATTCCGATGAATTAATGAAAATAATAAAATAACGCGTTAAAAAAAAAAAAAAAAAAAAACGCAGATTATTATGTTTTCGTGGTGCCCTTTGACCTGGTGCGTCATTGAACGCCACAGTGGCTTTGTCACATGATGGAGGCAGACGAGACAGCGCTGCTTGGCTCTGAGAATGGAACATTTGCATTTAAAAACATCCAGATGGAACTGTTGATCGGAGCACAATAAGGAATTTTCATACTATCAGAGCACTTCAAGCCTGAAATATCACCTCAACACAAAGCTTTAGCAGCGAACGCGGAGGTCTGAGCTAGCACAGCCTCTGATGCTAACACTAGCAGCCAGCCTCATCAAGCCACATTTGACTAGGTGTTTAGACTCAAACTGAGTAAATCTACCTGTGACCAACTAACTCTGTTTCAAAATGGACTGCAATGGACTGCAGACCAGTTTCGGCATAAGAGGACAGGGGGACAATTGTGTCCAAAATCCAGCAGCTTTACGACACATCTGCCAAAATTCATTTGAATTTAAATTTTTTAAATACTTCCACAGCAGAAGTTTATGTATGCGATTCATTTAGATTAATTAATCACAGAGCATTTAATTAATTTGATTCATTTCTTTTAATTGCTTGACTGCCCTGGTTTCATTATAATGGAGAGAAGGCAGACATCTCTACAGCTGATATCTCCAAGACTCAGCTACTCACACCAAAACAATATAGACTGATAAACAGCACAACAGGAAAAATGTTTTTATGATTTTGGGGTGAACTGTCCCTTTAAGGATTACCTTCAGCTAAATAGCTTACAGCAAACCATTCCCCTGCTCCATCAACCCAGTGACTGACTGGATATAAAACAGTGAATTAAGTAAATCACACTGACATTTTCAAAAGGCAAGGTTTTCAATCTACTATAATGATACAGAAAACACCACAACAACCATTTATGCACAAAATACCAACCTCCTTTTAATCTTCATATGGCTGATTACAACATAGCTGTGTAACAAACCCACAGTTCCACTTGTACATAGAACAGATGTTTTCATTTAAACCAAATCACAGATGATTAAAAACATGCATGTTTCTCTGTAACAAGCACCCTCCCTAGTGAAATACATAATCTATCTTACCCAGATTCGGAGATGATTTCTGGAGCCACATATGTAGGAGTCCCACATACAGTATACAGAGGTCCTTCCACCACTGTGGCCAGGCCAAAGTCTCCCAGTTTCAATGACTTGGTGCCATTGGGATACTCAAACACCTAAAATGAATTTCATACTTGGTTAAAGCCCACTGAGCAGATGGATTTGTACGAAAGAAACTGGTGCGTGTAAATATATACCAGCAAGTTCTCTGGTTTGATGTCTCTGTGGACGATGTTGGTGCTGTGCAGGTATTTCAGAGCCTCAGCAAGATTGTACACCATGACACTGGCGTCTCTCTCTGTGTATTTGGCCGAGGAGGTGATGGCATCGAATAAATCTCCTCCCTGTGCCGAAAAAGTGGTTAACCATCAAACAGAGTGATGAGGACTGTGCAGTGACATCGCCACCGTTAGCCTCTACTGTACCTTGACAAGCTCCATAACCAGGTAGAGTTCAGAGGGAGTGTCCACCTCCTCTATCAGCATGATGATGTTGGGGTGTTTGACCTTCCGCAGCACTGCAACCTCGTTCTCTATGAGGTGCTCCTGGAAACACACAAGGACAAATAAGCGACATTACTGCATGCCCCAGTACACAGGATTTACACAGAGCCATTATGCTAATAAAAAGACACTGCATTGTTGATTGAATCTGAATTTGTGTCAAGGATGTGTGATTCAGCATGTGTCCCTGTCTGAGTGTGAAAGTGTGAAGATAATTTGAGTTAGGTGCTGAATAAAATATCACCGGCCTAATCTAACTGTGTGGGATAAGAGGATCAGAGACACACACGGGTGACACTTTGGTGTGAGTGTAGGTGGGTGTTAATAATGCACAGTGGAACGCTAACATATGACCCTTACTTACAAGGGTCTGAGAGCAAAATACACAAAGAAGAGAGAAGGAGATAATGAAGGGGGAAAAAAAAGATAGAGCGAGACCTTTCCACTGCACTTGGCTTTGTCGATGATCTTCAGTGCAAACTCTTTTCCTGTGGACCTGAACAGAGACAGTGCAATTAGGGCCAAGGGTGAAAAAACAGCACTGACGCAGCAACAATGTCTGTAATTCAAATCAAGTGCACACAAGAGAGTCTCAGTTACAGTGAGCAGGAGCGCTGCCACAGAGTTACTGGAAAGGTATGTTAGCTGCACCGGCCAAGTTTACACAATGAGCAGAGATACAGGCAGGCTCAACAAGAATCTGAGAACACATACTTAAAGAGAAACTTAACACCAGGGAGGAGAACAGTGTTTCACTGCCATGTCAGGTTGAAGGTTTCAAGTTTGTTCCACCTCCCATCAGATGTGAGCTCTGCTGCATCCGTAACCACACCCGACAGTGATGTCATTTCTATACCACCGCAGCAAGCTGAGAAGTCAAATCACTGGAGATTTAACCGATCCAGAGGTTTTCTTTTGTTTTTTCATTGTTTCTTATTGCAAAATATACATAATGAAAACGCTACAACTCGAAGGTTCCCTACAGAGTTTTTGACCACTAGTGGTGCCATGGAGCGATGTTTTGATTAGGGCTGCCCGCTGAAAGTCAAATATTCAAATAATCATTTGGAGACCCATCAATCGACTGAGATTCTTCAAGTTAAGCAGTCACTCAGCAGCTAAATCTGCGGACTTTTCGGTCCCCAGATTTAGCTGCAAAGTGAGCTTCCATTTTCATGCTGCTCTCCAGTGCAGGCAGCTGCAGACCCAGACCCAGAGCGAGTCTGAGTGGAAGAGAGGCTTTGCCCAGCCAGGCTCAGAGATAACATTAGCTTCTGCTTCTGTCTAGATGTGGCACATTAGCAGCTCACAGCAGCTTGATACAATACAGTCTGACTTTTGTTTGATATCTAGTGTCTGCAAAAACTGTTGCACATTTTCCGTTCCATCCTTAGCATAATTAACACACACTATCTTGGAGCATTAGCTGGCTTGTTCACTATATAATGTGAACACTGCTGTCACCTCAAACACCTGTTCAAACTCTCAAACTCAAATAAAAGGAACAAATTGTCAAATATTTGTACTGAGCAGATCAATCAGATTCGACTGACATAATGTTGAGTCGGGTAAAGCTCTAGTTTTGATGAGTGGGTTCCTGTTTTGTTTGCATCTCCTGCTTAATAACACACATGAGGACGCAATTGTGCGCACTTGAGCATGCAAGTCATACAACACACTCCTGCAAACTGTTTTCCCCGATTACGAAATGTAGCAATGCACTAGCAAAAGCCAGGGATGTATGAATGTAGTAAACATAAGCCAAGTCATTCTTCACCTTAGGAAACAGTATAGCTTTTGATCAGCTACATCACAGTCTCACAGTCTTTATTCAAGACTATAAGATGCTGCTGAGGGCTCAGAGAGCTAGTAGGTGGAACTTAGAAAAACATTTACAAAGCTAAATGTGACCAAAATAAACTGAGTAAGGAAATTAATTCAGCATTGTTTCCTTGACTTCAATGATACACACAATGCATTTGGGTCACAAATACTTGCTGTAAACAACTGTTTGTTTACAAGGTACTTCACTGGAAACTTTAAGTTCTTTCCAGGAAGGTGCATCAGATTGTGAACACACACACTTTTGAGGCCTCCTCTCATCATCATCTCTCCCTTCTGCCCGAGCACTGTGTTGACTCACAGATTAAAAGGCTAATGAAGTGAATTCACCGCTGGGTTTAATCTGTGGGATATTTCTGTCTCCACAATGCCTGTCATCAGGACTTAAAAACCCTGATGGAGCAGTTACCGCACGCAACGCACGTCTTATTAAGCTGCACAACGCGGCACCCTGTGGTGAGATCACTGCAGACAGCTGCCAACTGTGCACTAAACATTCGCACATTGAGTTAATGCGTTGCACCTACCTCTCCACACACTCTTTGACCACGGCGAAGTTGCCATCTCCGATGACTTTGCCAATCTTGTATTTTTCTAAGATGGTGGAGGCAGGCAGGTAGCGGTTCCCATTAACTGCTGAGGAGAGACAGAGGTTACAACAGGCAACAGACAGGATGTTTATTAAAGCTAACGGAGCTCTGGCAGGAACTCAACCAGTTCTCAGACTGAATTAAGAGACCACATGCTGTGCAACAAAACAACACAGGCACCAAGATGCACAGCGATCTCTACTAGTCATCCTGTGGCAATTAACGAAGTGAACATTAATATTATATCTCCACACACACACACACACACACAGCCTTAGAATCATTTAGGTAAGTATCTGTTCACACAGCAGCAGGATGTTACCCTCCACACACTCCTTGTCACTTTTGCTGGATAAGCAAATTGTGAAATGTGCCCTGATGGGAAAGCTGAGGATCAATTTTATGTGATAGTCAATGTCACTTCTACATGCTGGAGGGTGAGGGAGTCCATGCAATAGTGTCTTAGTTGGCAGATCAGGTGAATGACTCAGACAAAAAAGCAGAGGAGAGGGAAGGAGAGGAGAGGACGTACCCTCTGGACTCAGCCGATTGGTTTGCTCCTGGTGATTGTTCAACGAGCCATTTACATTTGAGGACGAGATGTGATGTGATGGAGGGGTCTGCAGGATGCAAAAAGACACAAAAATAGAGATGAGCACTTGGCCTGAAACAAAACCCACAGACAAGTCACCATGGAAATCTTAGGCATGAAAACTTGCTATACATGGATCAAAGATCGATGATTTGATGGGGCATATTTTTTGTTACCTTGACTTACAGTACAGGCCAAAAGTTTGGACACACCTTCTCATTCAATGCATTTTCTTTATTTTCATGACTATTTACATTGTAGATTCTCACTGAAGGCATCAAAACTATGAATGAACACATGTGGAGTTATGTACTTAACAAAAAAAGGTGAAATAACTGAAAACATGTTTTATATTCTAGTTTCTTCAAAATAGCCACCCTTTGCTCTGATTACTGCTTTGCACACTCTTGGCATTCTCTCCATGAGCTTCAAGAGGTAGTCACCTGAAATGGTTTTCCAACAGTCTTGAAGGAGTTCCCAGAGGTGTTTAGCACTTGTTGGCCCCTTTGCCTTCACTCTGCGGTCCAGCTCACCCCAAACCATCTCGATTGGGTTCAGGTCCGGTGACTGTGGAGGCCAGGTCATCTGCCGCAGCACTCCATCACTCTCCTTCTTGGTCAAATAGCCCTTACACAGCCTGGAGGTGTGTTTGGGGTCATTGTCCTGTTGAAAAATAAATGATCGTCCAACTAAACGCAAACCGGATGGGATGGCATGTCGCTGCAGGATGCTGTGGTAGCCATGCTGGTTCAGTGTGCCTTCAATTTTGAATAAATCCCCAACAGTGTCACCAGCAAAACACCCCCACACCATCACACCTCCTCCTCCATGCTTCACAGTGGGAACCAGGCATGTGGAATCCATCCGTTCACCTTTTCTGCGTCTCACAAAGACACGGCGGTTGGAACCAAAGATCTCAAATTTGGACTCATCAGACCAAAGCACAGATTTCCACTGGTCTAATGTCCATTCCTTGTGTTTCTTGGCCCAAACAAATCTCTTCTGCTTGTTGCCTCTCCTTAGCAGTGGTTTCCTAGCAGCTATTTGACCATGAAGGCCTGATTGGCGCAGTCTCCTCTTAACAGTTGTTCTAGAGATGGGTCTGCTGCTAGAACTCTGTGTGGCATTCATCTGGTCTCTGATCTGAGCTGCTGTTAACTTGCGATTTCTGAGGCTGGTGACTCGGATGAACTTATCCTCAGAAGCAGAGGTGACTCTTGGTCTTCCTTTCCTGGGTCGGTCCTCATGTGTGCCAGTTTCGTTGTAGCGCTTGATGGTTTTTGCGACTCCACTTGGGGACACATTTAAAGTTTTTGCAATTTTCCGGACTGACTGACCTTCATTTCTTAAAGTAATGATGGCCACTCGTTTTTCTTTAGTTAGCTGATTGGTTCTTGCCATAATATGAATTTTAACAGTTGTCCAATAGGGCTGTCGGCTGTGTATTAACCTGACTTCTGCACAACACAACTGATGGTCCCAACCCCATTGATAAAGCAAGAAATTCCACTAATTAACCCTGATAAGGCACACCTGTGAAGTGGAAACCATTTCAGGTGACTACCTCTTGAAGCTCATGGAGAGAATGCCAAGAGTGTGCAAAGCAGTAATCAGAGCAAAGGGTGGCTATTTTGAAGAAACTAGAATATAAAACATGTTTTCAGTTATTTCACCTTTTTTTGTTAAGTACATAACTCCACATGTGTTCATTCATAGTTTTGATGCCTTCAGTGAGAATCTACCATGTAAATAGTCATGAAAATAAAGAAAACGCATTGAATGAGAAGGTGTGTCCAAAGTTTTGGCCTGTACTGTATGTTGCATAAAAATGTTCCAGATTGCAAGGAAATGAGACTAGTTGACAAATATCATGCTCAAGACGTACACTTTTTTTCAATTAATGTCAATTCATAAAAATAAAAAGCACTTAAAAGGTCCAGTTTGTAGGACTTTGAATATTGAATTGAATATAATTAAATAAGTATGTTTTCTTTGGTGTTTTATCAGATGAAATTTAGGAACATTTTGTTTTTGTTATCTTAGAATGAGCTGTTTATATCTACATAGAGAGCAGGTCCTCATCCATGAAGTGTGCCATGTTGCACAGCCACGGACAAATCAGATAGTGGCTAGATAGGGCCATTTATGTTTTTGTGTTTTTGCGTTTGCATCATAGTTAGCAGCCCCTCTGCATTAAGCAGCATAGGAAAAACACTGATTTTTAACATTAAACTGCTTTATTCAATGAGTTTACCAGTTTAAATTACTGGGTCTGTTTGTTTGGAGATGAAGAAACCTCTGTGGATAATTCAACTCCTAGTAAAAACCTCTTGAACGTCTGGAATTTAAGTTACCAGAGAAAAAAGGGTGCACATTGGCAGGTGCTGGGCTAGTGGTCCGCCTGCCATGTGCCAAACAGCGTTAGATAAACTCTGATTTGTAACGTAAAACTGCATTAGTCAATGTTTATACCAGTTCAAATCACCGTGTTGGTTTGTTCTGGAGAGGAGGAGACCTCTGTGAATAATTCAGCTTCCGGTTAAAACCTCCTGAACAATGAACACTGAAGGAATCCTAATGGAAGAAGTTTCAGCTGGTGACAATCTGCAATCCTCACCACTTGATGCCACTAAATCCTACACACTGTTCCTTTAAGAGTTGTAATTTGAAAATATTCAACATTCCTAAACTAGGAAACTACCTATAAAGACTGCTGCTCACCAAATATGACACATTTCTTCAAACAGTACATGTACATTAAACCTAAAATATTATTTACATAGTGAACAAGGTCTAAATCAAACTTGGCCTTTAAAATGTTCAAGGTGTTAGAGCTCCTGGAATAGATCTCCTCGATTATCCACTCTCATCACTGCACATAAAACCATTACGGCTCCAAATGCATGATTCATTTCTTAAGAGCAGCAGTGACAACTTCAACATCTTATGGCTATATTTTTTGAAATGTCAGCCATAAATGCAAGCTGCCAGCATTAAAATAAGACAAGTGATCTTTTACATTATGTTCTGTACCTTACTGCACCATAACGCACATTACCTTATAGTAAGGATCTATTATTTAGTCTAAAAGGGTAGTCCTCCGGAGCAAGGGGAGTGGAACACAGTCAAGATCTATTTTACTACTGGATACATAAAAAGGCTTTTTCTCTAATAAATAACTTCTTCAGGTGGCTTTAGTTTACCTGACCACGTCCAAAATAAGCAACCATGTCACTGACATCCTCCTGCTTCCCCAGTTTCTCAATAAATGTTATATTACTCTGCCTCTTTGCCAGCGAATTTTAAAGCTGTCAGTAAATCATAAAAATCTAGCATCCCGCCAAATGAATGTGGATGGATAAGTCTTTGACTGGGCTTAGAGGAATGGTGGCACTCTGGAGGAGGTTTGCCAGCTGGCTGCGGCCGTTAGAAACTGTAGTTTGGGGACTAACACACAGCTTACAGAAGAATCCATCAATAAATCAGATTAGTATCTCAGACTCGACCAAAAATACATCACAGAGCTGCAGTGATGCAGAACATGGGCTGTACACAGACCTGTAGGTCATACACGACTGTCAGTCAGTGACTTGATGACTTGACTTTACATAGCCTTATTTTAATATTGTGTGATATGTAGGTCAAAGTATGCAGGTCCTTAAAGTACCACCTTAATTTACGCATCTTGTACAAGCATGTGATTCATGAAGAGATGGAACATTTCTAACATTGACTTGATTTACTCTGAGGTAGCAGACCTGCACTTTACCAAGGAAGTTATAACAGCTATGTTAGATAAGGGTTTGACATTTTTAGGAGGACAGATCCTGCCTGAAGACCAGCCATTGAGCCTTGAAGGTAACCACTGTGGACTGGTGCCTTGAAAAGTCAGTCCTCATTTTTGTTTCGTATCTTGAGCAAGCACACAGAGGACCTTTTTTGTGTGTTTATGTTACTCTATGGCCACCGCAGGCTTTCATACACACTTGGAAAGGGAGGTATGACTCGAGGTCTACTCAGTTGGTTGTAATCTGCATCTCACTGCTAGATGCCACTAAATTCTACACACTAATCCTTTAAAGCAAGCTTTATGTGGACTCTGGTGACAAACTGCAACAATCAACTACAACCTACCAATGGTGCCAAATTTGCAAAGTTTCTATCAGTAGTTCTAAGTAATTTCAGTCTCTGTCCGTGTCCGTTACATGTTTCTTTTGCTCAGTGATGTGTCCCTCATGTGTACAAGACAGATTATAAATGCACACCTACAGTATATGCTTTAAAAACCATATATTGCATAATAGATATTGTTTTCAGTTGCAGATGCAAGTTGTGGGTGTCTGCACGTGGCATGTGGCATGTGGCATGTCGACACACATGGATGTGTCTTACCTTAAAACTGGGGACAGTTTTAGGGCTGGTGGGAGACGGAGTGGAGGACTTGGTGGACTTTGGAGTTGAGATCTGGCTGCCTGAGATACTGTTTACTATGTGGAGAAAAACAGACAGGAGGAAGAGTCAGTATCATTGTGAGTACAACTGTTTAAATTTACATGGTTTGTGCAGTATGTACACAAACGTGTGTGTGCATGTGTGGCTAAAACTGGTTGCCAGTGGCTTACCATATATTAAAACTAGAATTACCACTTTACGGTTGTATGCCTTCACGCACCAGTCAAGTTTCTCTTACATGTTCTCTTACTGGTTGCTTCACACACATCTTTACCTCAGCAGCACAGAAGATCTACACAATCAGCACAGTTTCAAGGTGGGCACCCAAGATTAGCATCACTAATTCAGTATCTGACCAAATGTCTCTCCTTCTGTTCCTGAGTTATAACGCTGAGTAATGTCCAGAGAAGTGTTTTATGTAGAACATTATGATGTTACAATCAAGTTGACCTTTTACCTTTTGGATATAAAATGTCATCATTTCATCATTATATCCTATTAGGCATTTGTGTGAAGTTTTGTCATAATTAGCGTTAGAATTCTTGACTTATGGCCAAAAACATGATTTATGGGGGTTACACTGACCTTGACCTTTGACCACCAAATTCGAATAAGTTTATTCTTCAGTAAAAGTAGACGTTTGTGTCAAATTTGAAGTAACTCCTTCAAGGTTTTTTTGTTGTTGAGTCCATGAGACTGTGATGGATGTAAGGTCACGCTGACCTTGTGCCAACCTCAATTGAGATTTTAAATCATGTCGTTTGATGCTTAGGGGTTCTGTTGTGTTTTGCTGGTTGATGTGCAATACTGTAATGTGTAGTATGCGTTTTTATGTTTTCTTTTAATGGTGTATGGTTTTAATTTCTTCTGGGTTATTAATGTAGGGCAGGGGACAATAAAGTATACTGTATCGTACTGTATCCTATTGTATCGTATCGTAATGTACCTTTGACCACCAAAAACTATTCAGATCATTCTTCAGTCCAAGTGAATGTTCATGCCAAACTGGAAGAAATTCTCTAAAGGTATTCTTGAGCTATCCCATTCACAAGAATGAGACATGATGTGATGACAGATGTTTGTGCCAAATTTGAAGAAATTCTCTCACGGTGTTCCTTAAATATCATATTTCTGAAGATTTTATGGATGCAGGTCATGCTGACCTTGACCTTTACACCTTGACCACCAAAATCTAATCAGTTCATCCCCGAGGCCAAGGGGATGTTAGTGCCAAATTTAGAGAAATTCCTTCAAGGTGTTCTTGAGATACTGCGTTTACAAGAATGGGACGAACAATCCGAAAAACACAATGCCTCCAGTCGCAGCTATAGCCAGTGCAGAGGCATAAAAATGTGTAGTTTATTTTCTTAATGAGTCATGTTTTTGGTTTTAATGCAAAGCACCTCATGGAGCTGGCTGTAACTTTACTCACAGACTCAAACTTTCACAAATCTGCAGCGCAGCAGGTTGCAGATTCTCTATAAGGGGGAGTTTGTAGGCTACTGGTGTTATGACTGCATCTTTTTTTTTAAAGCTGCTGGTTTCCTTTGTGCTCCTAATGTTTTACATTTAACACTTTTGCCATCTGTTAAACAGCAATAAAAACTTCCACCACAAGTAACTACAAATGTTTACCTTCACACAAAAAACAAACAGCAGCTGTAAACAAGCAAAACCCACAGTTTTAGCACCCATTACTCAGTGTCACAACTGTAAAATCTATGAATTTCATTTCTTGTAGATGGGGTACATCACAGGCTACAGGTTGTAACTATTGTTACTTTAATGTTGAACTACATGAAAATGAGTGTTTGCCTGAACTGATTTGGTTCATTACCACTTGTGCTACTGTGTAACACATATCCATGATATACTTTAGTGTGTAACACAAGGAGCAGAGGCACGCAGCAGGGATGAGAGCTTTTACTGTTCAAGTGATTCATTCTCTTAAGAACAGACTATTTCTGCCTCCCTCTCTGTTGGTTTCTGGCACAAATACAAAGACATAATGCGTCAAACTTTAACTCAAAGTCTCTTCATCTGCATAAACCCAGCTGAGCTGAGGAAAATCATTTCACACTGCCTACAGGCTGCATCTCTGCACTGCTGTTTCACAGTTTTTGTTTCATTGTACAATCACTTAGAGGTTTTTTTCCACTTAACTCTCCTCTGGGTATTTATCTTGTTTTGGTAAAGGAGCCTTTCAAGCACTATTTGAAGAAATCTCAAACATGGTACTCGCTTTTAATGTTTCAGAAGTACAGTTTAACTTTTGAGCACCTCAGCTGCTACAGATGAAGAGGCATGTGGTTTAACTGTTCAGTAAGAGCAGGATTTAATTAACTCAGCTGAAGAGGAAGTCTAATCAGTTCATGGCTTTGAATCAGTGGATTCTGCAGCAGCTGGCTTTCAAATTAGATAGATGTGTATAATACATGGCATCACGAAGACTAGCCTGGGCCAGAGGAAGGGAGAGGCAGAGAGAAAGAAGAAAATAAAACCAAAAGAAAACATTATATAATGAAGACATTGAGATCTTTTAAAAGTTTCACACAGGTTCACGTCACTGAGGGTATTTCACCTCCAACCAGAAGGACAGGCAAAAAACTGGTACTAACTTTGTGGTTCTTAGATACTGAGGTTAACGTGTAAAGTCTAGCCTGAGTGTGTCACCTAAGGAGAGGCCATTTTGTTACCTAAATCAAAAACCTTGAGGACATCTAATCAGTTTGTCAGGCTACCCCACCTGTAAAGGGGCATCTCACACCTTATTTCTCCCCTTTTGCTCTTGTACTCCATAGGAGAGGTAAGTGACATTGCGCTCATAGTAATTTCCATGTTTTAGCGCTGTTAAGCCTAAACATATTGCGTAATATGCTAACATATTCCTGTGTCACTTCATTTGTGTAAGAGCTCAAGTTCATATGGTCGTATTTGACGGAGGATTTTGTTTTTACCTCTTGCTGTCAGAGTTGTCAGCAATAAACGGAGATTGCCTCTTCATATCAACACAACACAGACAACACTAGAGTCCACTGGTTACATATAACCTACCGTAGCTCCTTTTAAAGTAGATAAATCAACTGCGTCATTGTTAATATTGAATTTTATTTATGTGTAACGGCCAGTGACGGAGTCTTTGTTTGTTGACAATCAGTATTTCTTTATGGCAAGTGGAAGAAATTGTAGCCATCAAAAACTGCAGATATCTCTGACTTGAACTGACAACTAGGAGGCTGAGGTAAACAGTATTTCCTTGATGGCCGCTCATAAGTACAGTCTTAGACTCACAAGTCAGTCTTTAGACGCTTTGCTTAACTAAAGACTGATGACTTTCTCTCTGATTTTGTGTTTAGATGGGCGGATACAATTTCAGAGTTTAAAAAAAACTCCCTACGTTGCAGAACCAATAGTAAATCTGCAGGGCGGTCCTTCGGTGGCTCGCTGAACTCTTGTGCTTGTAAACATAGTCCCACTAGAAACACGTGTAGCGGTACAAAATGGCTCAGCCGCGCTCGCAGAAAAGTGGATGTTTGTCATGTTTGCAGCGACACATTCTCGCCAACTAAAAGAAACAAACATAATCTTTTACAAGGCCATGACTCATCCGTCCGGCCGGACTATAGAGGGAATCGCCTTGTTGTTCACAAATACTTCCGGGTAGAAAACCAGCAGAGCTTTTAGCTATATATATAGCCTATATATCACATTTTTCACATCACTGTATCA